AATAAAGTAAACTTGATTGACTGATTTGGGCGTTTACATAGGCTATTGTCCGGTTTCATATTTGCTCAGTGACCGTCGTTACCTTCGGGCACTGACTCAAAACATTCGAGGCTGAAGCCCCGGCAAAATCAGCTGGCGCCGCCCCTGGTGCCCAGTTGCACCATTGTAAAAATATGAACCAAGCACTTGGCCAAATGTGATGTTGTATAACGCATTAACATGGAAGGGATGCTATATTGATTTATAAACACTTGTTATTGGCTTGAGTTTGTTATAACTGGTCGTGACAAGCGTCAGTACATTTGTTGGTCACTTTGTTTCTATTTCTACAACATTGCATACACACACACACACACACACACACACACACACACACACACACTGATATCTCATTGGACTGAAGTGGGTTCCTCTTGATGTTGAATACCACACATGTACAATTGGATTGTGGAGCTGTACAATACAATAGACCTTATTCGATCTGCATCATCAGTGTTTGCGGCGGCCATTTTGTTGACATTGAAACCACGGAAATTGTCAGTCTGTCAATGGACAAGCGAGGTAGCGTCGGGATTATCCATGATATTATCACTGTTTTGTTTTTTTTAACAGCGTGATGGTGTTGTGTAATACACGGCTGTTCTAACAACAGCAATAAGAACATCAGAGTTAGTTTTTATGCGATAAGATACCGACTGTCAGAAAACGTGGGAAGGAGACAGGGTTGAGACAGTGCAGGAGAGGCTAAACTTTCTGCCAACTCCCCACAGAAAAGTCTGTTCCTATCATTTTACCACAGGTTTCACACATAACACACATAACTGATCCGCGCCTGTACCACAAACACCCCGGTACTCACTATTTTTATTTTAACACATACTCATTATTTCAACAACGTAAGCCAATTATTCCATGCTTTACTTATTAAGTTGCTCAAGCAAGTGGTCAAATATGTAACCATGTATTTATATTAAAATCACAAACATTTTAAATGAAAACTTAAAATTGACAAACAACCGACTCACATGCCTTTTCTTTTTCTATGACATCTTGCATGTCATAAAGCACTTGTTTTTCCACCTCCACGAATGAGACAAGTGTCGTTCATGTTGCCTTGTTTGAGGTAAATTGTAGTTTGTACGTTATACGGATACTGTATGATCGAGATCGTTATAAATATCCGGATAGGTTACGGCTGGCAATAAGGACGGGTCTTTACTTAATGCTATTGTTTAATTTTGATGTGGGTCCACACACCAATCAAGCTTATCTTCTCTTGATAAAGCTCCCACTCAACTCAAATCTACGCGCTGCTAAGGCCAGCAGGACAGATGTCATGTCAACAATATGGCCGCGGTTAGCTACTTCCGGTATTTGCGAATAAGGTCTATATGACAAGTTTCACAGTGTAGCATCACGAATGTCACAGAAAGACATGGAGTGTGTGTGTGTTGCGAGTGTGTGTTGAGATTGGGACGTGCTGTTGTTTTGCAGCGGATGTTCACGAGTGAGCCTGGAGCAGTGTGTGTGTGTGTGTGTGTGTGAGGGACACTTGACTGTCTCATGAGGCCACGGGAGAGGGTTTGTGAACGACAGGAAGCAACGCAACTGTAGTAGGTCACATGATCATGACATGATGGATGAACTACACCCGGATACACTCACACAGAGCACTCTTACAGGCCGTCAAGCAATAACTATTCAACACAAGTGCATGAGTGTGTGATTTCAGACACAGCTCAAGTGTGAACATGAACTCTGCTGGAGGATTTACGATGCATTCGTTTCTTAAATAAATGAAATAAACTGGAAGCACGCAAGATTAATTACATGTATTAATTTATTTGCAGCCGATGTATAATCTGAGACGGCCTCTGTGATATATAACAGTCATACGATCATAATTGGTAATTACATCTCTGTAATGCGGTTGAACTCTTTTAGTTATCAGAGAGATGAATATTTTAAAGTTCAAGACGAGCACAGAGCAATAGAAGCGTCTTGAGACGAGGCCGGGGCCGGAGAATGCTTTACTGTACAAGCTTTCTATGGAAGAAAATAAAAAACTCAACAATTACTACATATACATATATATTCTACTTTGATTACAATGTCGTTGTTTTAGTAGTAAATTGTGCATAAGATGAGAGTGTGATTAAAAAAAATGATTTCTAGTCATTGACAAACATATAAAAGCACTATTAATGAGTCCTAGACTTTTGACCAAGGCTTCGCTGTGTTTAATGTCTCTGGCCAGCAGAGCATCAGATTCACTCCCAGAAAACATGTTTCATGATAATAATACAAACACAATACTGTGTTGTTAGTTCATATTGCAACTAATCTGAACATATAGAACTTTTTAATTGAAAAAATCTGTTAATGTATGACGGTATAGTAAAGTGTTTCCCATTTGACTGTATTATGTGAATATTATTTCCTTCTTGTTGTTGAGTATAGGCATTTAATGTCGAATATCATATGTCAATCAAACTGAACCGTGGACAAACAAGCTTATATGGTATAGCTTACAATGCTTTCTTTAAACTATAACATGTTGACCTGTTTAATACACCTTTTTGCCACACAATGTGAGCATACAGTAATAAGAAAAATAAATAAATGTCATTTTTGTTTTGTAATAAATTAGTTGGACATCTCAGTAATGGCTGGTAGGCTAATATTGGCAAAAAGCCCACCAGTGTATTTGGTAGGTTAAGAGTTTACAGTGCCTCTAGTACAACATCAGGTCGACATATTTGGATAATTTGCATTATTAAGACAAAATTAAAAATGAATCGTTGGATCCTTAAAACCTCAAACGTGTCATTGAATCAAACCATGTGATCGAACTCTGTCTCCAGCCAGGCAAGCAAAGGCAATAAATACAAACCATTCAGTGACTTTATTGCAAAAAAAGTAATCAGCTGACCACAGAAAAAATATTCTATACAATAAAGTATGATAACAAATTCAAGCTTCACTAAAGACATTAAAGATGTGCGTAGATTCAGTATTTTAATAATGAATGATCAATAGAACTGAATGAACAACAGCTGAGATGCAGATCTCTGTAACGCTGCTGTGAAACGATCTGGAGTGTATAAAGCACAATATTAATAATATTACTTGAAGGGGTGTGTACAAGACTGACATGACACCTTCATAATCATGACATGACATATAAATGTTTATGACGACTGTCATGAAGTGTCATTCGCTCAGTTATGACATTTTTAATGCAAATATGACATTGTTTGAGATGTCTTTGTCATGACAACTTGACATAACCAAGACAACACAACCTGTCATAAACATGACATAGCAGATTAATGATCAAACTTAAGAAAGCACTTCGCTTTATGGGTTAACATTACATTAAACTGTCATGTGATTGGTTTTGACATTGGCTGTCATGAGGCCGTTATAACTGTCATGAATATGTTTATTGACCTCAACTACAGTGGTACACATTGAAGTTATCATTAAAATGTTATAATGATCTCATGACAGCCAATGTCAAAACCAACCACGTGACAGTTTAAAGGAATAGTTCACTTTTAACACTTTTAAAAACTTTTGCTGATTTTTTTACTCACCCCCATGTCATCCATGTCCACGTCTTTCTTTCTTCAGTCGAAAAGAAATTAAGGTTTTTGATGAAAACATTCCAGCATTTTTGTTCATATAATGGAATTCAATGGGAACCAAACGGTTCAAGGTCCAAATCAGAGTTTCGTGACTCTCCTGTTCGAACTCGTTCATCAAAATGAACAAATCTTTTTTCGTGTCATTTGGTTCATTCAACAAACGAAACAAACGAATTGACTCGGGAAAGGATTCGTTCATTTTGATAAACGAGTTCGAACAGGAGAGTCACGAACGCGCATCACAGTACAGAGCAAGGCGAGCGTTTGTGCTTTTAAAACTTAAACTTTGTTATTTATTATTAAATGAGCGATCGTTTCGCTTGATAAGACCCTTATTCATCGTCTGGAATCGTTTAAAGCCCTTTGCACTGAAACTGTCTTTTGAACATTGAACCGTTTGGTTTCCATTGAAGTCCATTATATGGAGAAAATCCTGGAATGTTTTCATCAAAAACCTTAATTTCTTTTCGACTGAAGAAAGGAAGACGTGGACATCTTGGATGACATGGGGGTGAGTAAATTATCAGCAAAAGTTTTTTAAAAGTGAACTACTCCTTTAATGTTAACTCATAAAGCTAAGTGGTTTCCTAAGTCTGATAATTAATAATTAAATAATTAAGTTGGTGCGTCAAGGTGTCATAACAAAGACATCTCAAACAATGTCATATTTGCATTAAAAATTTCATAATTGAGCGAATGACAGTTGTCACAAACTTGCATTAAACGTGTCATGTCATGATTATGAAGGTGTCATGTCAGTACACCCGTTCAAGTAGTGTTGTTATCCTCATATTCTTATAACTATCTAGCTATCTAACTAGCTCCAGCATGAACCACGTATTTATGCCAGTCACAGGCACGTCTGCTGAAAGTAAAGGCCGTTGTTTAAGGGTACCAACCCAATGCATTGACAGAGAAATATGTATTTGATAAGAAGAAACTGTGCCGGAGGGAGAGTATCTATAAGAACACATGTACAAGTTCGATCACTATTCTGTGTGGACCGTATCCGTCTCGTACAGCTCTGGCTGAAGCATGCAGATGACCTTCATGACACTGGTGTTTACTGTGTAATATTAAGTTGTAGAGGACTGCTTTTGCCCACTGTTACACATGAAGAGTTATGAAGCACTGATTATGAGTGCACTATAATTCATCAGTGTTTGAGCGGTCTCACACAACTGTAGCATTACTTCGTCAATACTATACTCCATTTCTCATATAAATGCTCTAATTGTAAGTTTGAATCCTATCAATGCGTTATGGACATTTCGTTTAGAAATGCATGTTTGTGTGTGTGTATCTAATGTGAAGTGTGTGAAAACTAAAACGGTTTCTTTTGTTGTGCAGGGTCCATAGACCATCATTTTCAAGGTAACTGTTCTGCCGCTGAATATATCTTACACTAAGGTAAGCTGTTGGCTTTATTTAATATTAACCCTTTATGCTACAGCGATTTGCTTAAACTACTTGCACATACAGTGGCCACAAAAGTGCTTGGACAATTGAGTCACACCCGTTTGAATGTCACCCCATTACGATATCAGGACATGAGACAAGACATGAGCACACGAGGGTCCCTGTAGAGAAAGCCTTTTTATTCACAACGCCAAAGCGATTTATACATGATGATCTCAAAATACTAAACAATATCCAAATAATGAGTCCATATAATCCAAAACTATTATGAAAAACATTCCAGAACATCATTTTCAGTTGTCAAAAAAAAACATTAACTTTGTGAACTATGAAAATTGGATACAATGCGTCAGCATAAACTGTGAGGAAAAATAAATATTAAATTTGAGTTTTCATTTATACAAATAATTACAGTCAAGCTGGATGCCAGACAAGCCCTCACAGAGAGGCCTGTTTTTGTCCACAAAGCTTATTTTATTTCATTTTGATAATATTTTTTATATTTTTAATGCAAATGATTCTTTTTTTATTTTATTTATTTATTCAGTTCTAGTTAATAGCAACAGAGGCTTGATCGTGTTTACATCCAGAATAAAGGGCTGTCACTGTCAGTGGCACACACAGCCTCTGCTAGCTGGACATTTCTTTCACTACATCATGATGAGATTTCCCACAGAACGACATCAGAAGTGCAAAATAATGTCGGCTGGTTTTGACCCACTGTGAGTTCAACCACCGAGTGTATGTTTTAACATATTCGGTTTGCACCCCAATCAAGCCGACGATCGCATCAAATGGCGCCAGTGATACCACACGAGATAAACTTTGGAGAAGAACAAGAAGAAGATATGTTTACAAATCATTGAATAATCAAGTATCAAACAGGACACTGGGATCACACTGTTGTTATGTCCGGTTTATGTTGCAGAGGGGATCTGTAGCTGGTCTTTGGAACCATCTTCCTCTTCGTCTGGTTTTAACATTCATTCCCAAAAACATTGGCTTTTAGCCCACCATGAATCTGGTTTTAAATTCTTTGTTGTTTCCATCTAATCACTATATTGTCTGTCTGTAACCAAATAATATATATCTAGAGATGGTACTGTGCAAGTGTTAGGCACGTTAGTATTTATACCCCAAGAAATTGTTTTAAGACATTTATGTATTTTACTTTAGTGTGTGAGTGGGAAATATCAGTTTACATTTCCAAACATTCATTTTGCCATTAATTGTAATAATCCAGTGAGATTTTTGAATGCACGAGGAGATTAACAACAGTCAATATGATCTGATCCCACTATCATCGAGTCCATTCTGTGATTACATGAAGAAACAGACTAAACTGAGACAGACTCAATCCAGAAGAGGTGTGGAAACATCTCCAAGACTTGAAGAAAACCTTCCTGCAAGTACTGTGAGAAGTTTTAGGCAAGTGACAATACTTACAAAAATGATGTCATAAATAGATTTTTTTTTAGCAATTAACTTCTATCAACTAAATCAAATCAATACTCGTTGTGACCACCATTTTTCGTTAAACAGGTTTTGTTCAGGTTATGTTCACAGTTTTTCAGGCAGGAAGGTTTCTTCAAGCATCTCGGAGACATTGCCACAGTTAATAAAAGATTACATTATGTTTGAAAGAGATTTTAGTGCAGGGATTGGACGCGAAACAGTGCCTGGCGTCTCGAGAACACAAACCTTGAAACCGTTTTTGTTTTGATTTTGATGTTTGTTTTGATCACTGTCCTGTTGGAAGATCCAAATACGGCCCATTATAAGATTTCTAGCTCAGGTTTTGATTTTTTTATCTGTTGGTATTTGATCGAATCCATGATGCCATGTATCTGAACAAGATGTCCAGGACATTTGGTTGAAAATTAGGCCAACTAAATACACATAGGGTACTTTTTTATCCCTGTATGAACCAAACCCATCTGAAGTGTTTGCTGCCAAAAAGCTCTTCTTTTGTTTGTGTAATCTGTCCATAGACCGTTTCAAAAGTAACTGACATGACTGGACCTTCAAACAGGACGGGTTCTGTGGACAGATTTTTGGCAGTGCACAACAAGTACCCCATGTGTAAAATGAGTTTTAAGTATCTGCCTAATTTTCTGCCAGAGGTCCTGGACATCTTGTTCAGACACATGGCATCATATATTCAATCAAATTCCAACAGATAAAAAATCAAAACCTGAGCTAGAAATCTTATAATGGGCCGTGTTTGGATCTTCCAACAGGACAGTGATCAAAAACAAACATCAAAATCAAAACAAAAATGGGTCACTCACGGAGCACAAAACCAGCATCTGCAATGGCCGTCCCAGTCCCTGACCTGAACCCTGTAGAACATGAGTGGCTGAACTGAAGAGAAGCGGATTTATAATTTTATAATTAAAAAAATAAACAAGATTTAAAATGTCATTTTCCTAAAATAAAAATGTTAGAAAGGTTTCATTTTGTCATAAGAACCTGAATTTAATGCTTATCTTCATAAGAACAATTGCTCATCTTCAAAGTTAGAGGTTTCCAGGTGTTGTGCTAAATTTCGACTCCCTGACAGAATCGGAATCCCCCTCGCTTGCACATGCTATGAGCTTGGTGCGACTGTTTTAGTTTCGTCTGTTTGTGTTACTTACTTGGTGTCTTTTTTTTTTTCGCAGGTGTTTATTAATAAGCATAATTATCAGTGTTTTCCAGAAAATGTAGCAAAAACCGATCACTGGCATACAGGATATTATGTTTAAGTGCACTATACTTATACTATACCAAGTCAAATATGAAATGCCAATGTTCATATTTGATTTTATTGTAATAACATTTATTCCCATTGTGCACTGTTTAGCCTACTATATACTATAGACAGTCCAATAATAATTCTGCACATAGATTATTCTTAGATATACCCTGCCAGTGCATTTTATTTGAAATCAAACCCCAGAATTATTTTTTTGTGTCCAAAGCACAGGTGTAAGCAAAGTATATAAATCATACTTCCCTAATTTTTCAGGTTTACAAAGTCAAAGACATGAAACTCATGCTGGTTACACCTCTTACAATGAATGGTAAAATAATTTCTCTGTTTTACATTTGATATTGTATGGTGATAGGCACTTTTCATTCTGACATTTGCCAGTATAACTGGGTGGCTAGTCATCTGAAGTGGACATAATTGGACATCTCCACAACATTTACCTATAAATTTAAATGTATTTTGATGGTGCACACTTTCTGTTTCAAGGATGATTAACTGCATTTTGGTGATAAAAAAAAAAAAAAATCTGCCAGAATCTGACTCCCCTTGTGTGCACGCCCATGACGATTAGGTTGATTATGGGGAAATACTATAAACAATATTATGGGGTTGATTATGGGGAAATACTATAAACAAAAATGGGCTAAAGGAAACGTTTTGTTATTTCAAATAGTTTTGATATCTCAGACACAAATTGTATGAGTTACTAGGCCTACTTGGATTCAATAAATAGTCAAACAAAAAAACGCAGTAGGTCTCCATGTGAAGCTTTAATGCTTATATGAGGATCTCATACCTGTTCCTTTTTCTGATTATATCATTTTTCTTCTTTCTTTTACTTGTAGGCTATTATTATTTTAGATTATATGTTCTTTTACTATTTGTTGTTGACTACATTTGTATAGATATGTGTTAGACTATTGTCATGTTTATTTGTAATTTGATTGGCATTTAATAAAAAAGGAAAAAAACAAGATCATTTACTTTCAATCTATAGTTTCCACACCTGTAATTCCTGTCTGCATTTAGTGTTTTTATACTCTCTCTCTGTGTGTGTGTGTGTGTGTGTGCAAATTAATAAATAGCAAATGCATGCAAATAGGAAGTGAAATTATAAATGATATGTATTTATGCAGTGACGCACATAACATCACTGTAAGTTTTAAACACAGCACCTGCCGAATTTAAACTCCCCCTCCAATTTTAGCTTTGCAAGAGAAAACTCCTTTTGATGACACCTTTGTCCATGGAGGGTCCTCTGCAGAAAAGCACAAGTCTGAATGACTTCACAGTTATAGGCATTTTACATTTTCTGTTTTTTTTTTTTCTCCTCACCGAAATGCAGTTAATCATCCGGGAAACAGAAAGTGTGCACCATCAAAATACATTTAAAGTTGTAGGTAAATGTTGAAATGGACAAGTGTTATTTCCACTTCAGATGACTAGCCACCCAGTTATACTGGCAAATGTCAGAATGAAAAGTGCCTATCACAATACAATATCAAATGTAAAACAGAGAAATTATTTTACCATCCATAGTAAGAGGTGTAACAAGCATGAGTTTGATGTGTCTTTGACTTTGTAAACCTGAAAATAGGGAAGTATGATTTATATACTTTGCTTACACATTTGAACACAAAAATAATTCTGGGGTTTGATTTAAATAAAATGCACAGGCAGAGTATATCTAAGAATAATCTATGTGCAGAATTAAGTAGAAGTTATTGCACATGACATTATCGGACTGTCTATATTTTATTTAAACAGTGCACAATGGGAATATTAACATTTCATATTTGACTTGGTAAGTATAGTGCACTTAAACATAATATCCTGTATGCCAGTGATCGGTTTTTGCAACACTTTCTGGAAAAGACTGATAATTATATTTATTAATAAACACCTGCAAAAAAAAAAAAAAGACACCAAACTTTATGTAAGTAAAACAAACAGACGAAAAATAAAACTGGCACACCAAGCTCATAGCACGTGCAAGCGAGGGGGAGTCAGATTCTGTCAGGGAGTCGAAATTCGGCGACTAGTGTGTTGACGTCATTGCGCGTGCACGCGGGGGTCGGATTCTGGCAGGGAGGCGAAATTCGGCACAACACCGGTCAAACTTGAAGGCAGCATCATTTGTTTACAGATAATATTCGATCGAATGCAGTGACATCCACACTTGAAGTGGGATCACGTGTCCAAGAATTTTTTGGGCTCTCACTGGATGTGTCAAGCCATGTCAAAAACACAAATTGGACTAAGAATTGCTCTGTCATTCTCATTTTCTCTCTCAGATGCCATTTTCCCCTGTGCTGTTCCTGCTGCTCACGGGGCTGGATGTGAGCTGGTCTCAGGACGAGAAGCCGACGGTCCCGTTTGGCTGTGGGTTTGGTCTCCAGCGCCCCTACACTCTCCTGTGTGACCTGGATGCCGTGTGGGGCGTAGTGGTGGAGGTGGTGGCGGCGGCCGGTGTTCTCGCTGCTGTTTTACTGCTGCTGGTGTTACTGTGTCGCCTGCACTCAGTGACCGAGGCCCCGAAGCGGAGTGGCATCGGCCCTGTTCTCCTCCTGCTGATCGGCATCATCGGGCTGTTCGGGCTTAGCTTCGCGTACCTTATTGAGCACAACGAGAGCATTTGTTTGGTGCGCCGTGCCCTCTGGGGGGTGTTCTTCTCTTTGTGCTTTGCTTGCATGTTGGCACAGGGAGTCAGGCTGCGCAGGCTAGCTCGCGAGTCTCGTAGCCCAGGCGGCTGTGCCCTCGTCGGACTAGCATTAGGGTTGGCGGCGGTGCAGGGTATTATTGCTGCAGAGTGGCTCCTGCTAACCGTGATTCGGGAGGGTAACCCGGCTTGCCAGTATCAGCCTCTGGACTTTGCGCTTGCCTGCGCATATGTGCTAGCGCTCCTGCTAGCAGCCCTGTTAACCGCAACATTAGCGCTGTGTGGGAAGGCACGGCCGTGGCACTGTAATGTTGTGTGGCTTCTGGTCTCCTGCTTGCTGTCCATTCTCTTGTGGGTGGCTTGGGTTGGTTTCTACGTGTATGGAAACACAGTGCTTGGGAAGTCTCCAGACTGGGATGATCCGGCGTTAGCTGTAGCGCTGGTAGCTCAGGGTTGGCTGTTGTTGCTGTGTCACGCTGCTCCTGAAGCCCATGCATGTCTTCGAGGACCAGCACAGCCTTCTGCTCCAGACTATTTCGACACATCCCAGAATTCCTCACGCATGAGAGAGGCCAGCCTTGATGAGGACATCCCACTTTCACACAGGCAGTTTGTGGAGAACCAGGGATATGCGTTTGATGAAAATACTGCAGGTACAGTTAGGCCCAAAGATGAAGAGTACACTTCAAATAAAAACTTAAATATAGATCCTAACAGCCATCCTTTACTTTTGTAGGTTTGAGGAGTGGCAGTCATCATAATGGCAACACAGGGGCCAGACCCAGCGCGCCTTTCAGAAGTAACGTCTACCAACCGACTGAGATGACCATGATACTAAACGGAGGAGCAGTGAGTATTTCACTTTATATGTTTTATAAATCAGTCCCTCCAGAAAAACGCGATTTTGCGATCGCTGAATTCAATGCAAAATCAGCCAAAGTCCACATATTTATACGGGGGCCGCATTTTTTCAAATACGCCGCACTTTCGCCGCATAAATTGCCGATTTCCTTGCAAAATATGCGGGGTTTGCATAATTTCATAATCCTCCATAATCAATTTTCGTTGCAAAATAAGTCACACATGTATCTTAGCAGAAAGTTGAAAAATGTTGCGTTTGCTTCACACAAGAGCAGCCATTTCCCCCTGTTTCCATGGGAACGTTATGAAGTGACGCAATTACGCGACGCTAGACAGACTCACGGAGGCGATTGACATCTCACAAATCGAACTCGTATAACTGTCTGTCACACGTTCTACCGTCACATCGTTACTTAATAAACAACATGAGATAAAAGAAGTAGCATCAAACAGAAATTACCCGCACACATGGGGTGTGATCGAGGCGCACATACAGTATAACACTCCAGAGTGTTCAACAGGGAGCGCGCAGCTCTTAAAGGGGCCACACCTTATTTACACTCGTTACAGAAATAAAACAAGACGAGAAATTAAATATTCCCAGCACTTTCTATGATGTAGTATGCTTGCTTATCAAAGGAAGTAATAAGAAATGACTCTTACATTAGCCTAGTGAGAACAGGATGTTGGGGGAATCACTTTTTTTCTCTTTTTCATCAAACCGCAATTTTTGCAAGTTCCCTCAATTTTTGCAAATTCCTGCAATTTCATCGCATAAAATTGCATAAATATCCCGCATATTCCATTTTAAAGAAATTCCATTCATTATTTTAAAGAAAACGGGCCGCGCAATCAATCAATTTTTGCCTGCAACAATCCCAAAAAAACTCCGCGTTTTTCTGGAAGGACTAATCGCAATTTTTTTCACAAATTTTTGGAAATTACCACCACAAAATCAGTCATTTTGATCGCAAAAATCACACAAAAAAAAAAATCGTGAAATCCTGGAGGGACTGATAAATAGGCCTGGAGAAACCTTACTCCCAAATTCCTTACTACATCTGACAAATGTAAGACTGTAAGACTCTATTGACTGACTCGAGCTTGAGACAGGCTCACTGATCTAGTATATAGAATGACTGGATAGCTCATGACGTTATAAACAGTGAAGCCACCGCGCCGCCATATTGTGATTCCCTAGTGAGCTCACGCGTTCTATTGAATCAGTAGGAAATTCTATGATTTGACTGAGAAAACATTGCAAAACGGGACACCGTTTTTAAATCTAAAGTCTCCCTGACCAGCCTTACAACGCAAACATCCTAAACATTTAAATGGGTATTTGTTTAAAGTCGAAAATTATTCCTGCTTATTAAAAATTAAGTATATGTGTATTGTGAACTTAAAATATAGCTCTTTCGGATTGTGTTTTACATAAAGATCTGTTCAAGTATTTGATTAGTTAGCAAAAACATGTTCGGAAAATGAATATACAAATTGTATGGGTTAATGTACGCCTGTTTCACCTCTTATTTACCCATAAACTGCACGCGTCTGCGGCGCGTTTGGCTGCGACACGGCTACCGGAGCTGATCGCGCCCAGCCGCCCAGGCGCCCACTCTCTAGTCATCAATGCATGTGTGAACCAGTTGCGACGCGGCGCGTTGCTAAAGATAGGCGCCGAGTCTTCTTTCGACGGACACCGCGTCCAAGCCGCACTATCAAAACACTGTCAATTTCAACATAAACATCCTGTGCAGACTCAGTTGTATTGCACACCAATGTGCTATCCTTGCTAGAAACCATTGTTTAAGGTAGAAACCCAAAAATCAAGAAAAAACCCCGTCAGAGGTCATTCCCGCACCCAGTCTATTTCTGCTGTGCTGCAGGCGCTGAAATAAGTGATAGCGCATGGTTCGTGGTCAAACTGAACACTGACATGAAAATATAGTTAACAAACACATTTAATTAAAATAATAATAAGTAACGTTAATGCATTGAATAATATGTTTATTGGGTTTAAACTTGAAGACGTCTGTGAAAGAATGCATAGTAGACTATAAACATTTTTTAAACATCGACATATCGGAAATATCGACAATTGTGCATATAAATTACTATATATTGATAATATTACATTTACCGGGTTACCCTCCCGAATCACGGTTAGCATTATTATCTATTACAACCTGTGGGCAGTTTTTTGTAGATCCTTTTGTGAACTTCGTTTTACACTTGTTGATGCACAGCGGGTCATCTTAAAAGTGCAGTCGGAGCTACTATCTCTGTATAACGGCCGTTGGAACCCTCTGCTGGAAGGGAATCGTAAGATGGCCGCTCGAACACTTCCGGTGGCTTCACTGCCTAGTTAGAACGTCATGAGCTATCCAGTTTATTGTTTATTGTTTATTGTTAAAAGGATCCATTAGCTGTCACCAAAGTGAGAAGCTATTCTTCCTGGGGTCCACAAGAAAAATAAGTAGCTATATAAATTACATAACAATGATAATCTAAAAACAATTAAACCATTGTAGATATCATTATAAACATCATCAAAAATTAATCAAAATAAATTATTACAATGTTACCATCATTATTCCATTCATACATTCTCTACTCACAATTCTAAATAGTGCATTCTCAGATAATACCTGAAAGAGACTTTGCCATTCATTTTACGTATATTCAATGGACAATTGTTCCAATGATTAATGCCACGATAAATAACTGTTCTCTTTAAAGCATTTGAATTTGGACGTGGCAACGTCATCTGGCTGATCAGCTGACCTAGTCAAATAAGAATGAACCTGATCACACCTAACAATTTGGTTATGTAAAAAACTGGTTTGAGAAGAAAGTATGGTTTTACTGAAAAATTTAGTTGTATTAAAAATCAATCTTTTCTCCACCATTAGCCATGATAGTCGACGGTGCATACTGATAATATTTGTTCTTATAGGACAATGTAATACTAACCTTGCAGCTCTATTTTGGACAGTTTGTAATTTATTTAGTTGACCGCTGGATATAGATGACCATACTTGGGCACAATAATCCAGGTGACATAGGATTAAAGATTTAGCTACCTGTCCAACAATGTATGGAGGTACATAAGAAAGACCATTGAGATACCACAACCCATCTTCTTAACTATCATATCAGTATGTTCTGCCTATCTATTATTGTGCCCAGTAATTTTACTTTATCTACCTGTTCTACAGGTCATATTTGGTGTTGATGACAGTTTATAACTCGATCCAAAGATAATTGATTTGGTTTTCGAGATATTCAGCACCAACTTATTTCTTTTTATCCAATCAAAAACCCTATTTAACTCAGCAGTTAAAATATTGTTCAGTTCACTGACAGTTTTTGCAGCATAATACAATGTGGAATCATCAGCATACATATGTACAGTAGCTTTACACAAAACTAATGGCAAATCATTTGTAAAAATGGCAAATAAAAGTGGTCCAAGGCAGCTACCTTGCGGGACCCCACAGTCCAAAACCTTCGAACGAGACCAGCTGCCATTGTAATAAACTCGTTGCGTCCTACTTGTGAGATAACTCTTCATAAATCGTATGGCAATTGGACTAAATCCATAACATTCTAGTTTACCAATGAGTAGATTGTGATCTATGACATCAAATGGCGCACTGAAATCAAGTAATACTGCACCTTCCTTACTTCCCGTTCCTCTACACTATTAAACTGGAAAGTGCAACTCTTATCACATTATTTTTTTATGAGGTTTATGTAATTAGAATCAATATTGTCCATATTCTGCCTTAGTACTTGGACCTTATTTATGAAGAAATCATTAAAATAATTTGCTATAGAGCTGGTAAGTCCCGCCCCTTCCGCTGGACCTCTAGGTTGAAAAATCGTCAATGCAAATGAATGAGAGAAAATAATTATTTTCTAATCCCGTTTGAATTTTGCAATGAATGTGAACATACGTTGTCTCAGAATTTTTCAATAATGTTTCGTGTAAAGAATGCTACGATTTAGCGGGTAGAATTTTCATACGGTTAGACTTTGTGTGAGAGCACTTTGTGGACTACAACTCTTTCGACGTGTTTGATATAAATCACCCCCACTAGCACACGGATCCCGCTAAACATGCCTGTGTCTTTGGTGCACTTCACCGCCTTCTTTCAAGGGCGAGGACAAACTAGTTGAGCGTGGTGAAAACCGTGATTTGTGGAGGGAAAACGTGTTACGCGGCGACGTCACATATGCGTCGTGTAGTCTTTCTCATTATGTCTATTCCACAACTGCTAGCCAAAGAATCATACAATATACTGCCAAACTCGTTACATGAGAAATTATATAAAAAATTCACAGACAACATATGTTACATTCATGGCACAATTCAAACGGGATCAGAAAATAATTATTTTCTCTCATTCACTTGCATTTTAACCTATAGGTCCACTTGAAGTTTTACGGATGGGCGGGACTTACCAGCTCTATATCAGCTGGTTTGGTCAGAAATTTGCCTTCCACATAGGAATCCGCTCCAGTTGACCGTCTCCCCATTATTTCATTAAGTGTTTTCCAGAGCTCTTTACCAACTTGTTTTACAGCATTTATTCTCTGCATATAATATTGTTTTTTCATCGATCTATTCAGTTTTGTAACCCGATTTCTGAGTTGACCGTAGTTGACAGTCTATCCTCCACCAATCCAGTCTTTGATTTAATTTGATCTAATATTTGATTTTTTTATCTTTACTAAGATTTGATTTTATCTCTTTCTTTCATGAGGCTCTTTATTAGGGCTGGGTAATAAATGTTGATTTCTCGATATTAATCGATTCTCATTTTTACGAACCGATATCGATTCTTAAATCTCAAGAATCGATTAGTCATCCTGTTTCATTTGAATGAATGGGACATTGTATCGCGGCTGCGCGCATCCAAAAAATCGCAAAAAATCGCTTTGTCGCTTTGTTGATATGAAACAAAGTCTCAATTTTCAAA